CAAGCTAATCTATATCTTTTTTTTTCAAATAAATGATATACAGGATGTTTCAAAATTAAGCAATCAAACTTCGACAGTATGTTTTATAACTAAAAATAGGAAAAAAATGTTACATAAACATAGATCCAGAAACGTTTCATTATCATGTCATATTGAAAAAAAAAGAATTTGATCGTTTAACTTTGAAGCACCCTCTATGTTCCTCCTATCAATTAGTACTATTCGGTAATATTTTGGTTTCATCTATATCAAGAAGTGATTGTACACACGCATATCTGTGTAGAGATAAATTTGCGCAATTTGCATACCGATAAGTGTCGCGAATATATATTAAAATATCTTCAAGTACTCTCTTCAGATTGATAACATCGCGGAATCGATAAAATTCACGATGGAAAATGTGAAAGGATAAATCGTGCGAATTTATTATAATCCAGTATGCAGATATGCAAGACCTAATTTAAGAATACATCGACCTTGGAGAAAGGCAAATTGTGTGTCACCAATATCTTACGCAAGTCTCGCGCGATAATAAAAGATGCGGAAGAAACGCTTGCGTCTCACCGATCGATAAGGGAAAACGTCGAAATAAAATCGCGATTAAGTAGAGCAACATTTCCGCGTTATATTATTTCACGGGAAAAAAGAGAATACACTTTGCAAAAATTAAAAAAAAATTACCAGTCATTGCTCCCCAGATAGCATGATATATTCTTTGACTATTCTATTTAGCGTCAAATATATCAGATGTTTCAAAAGTAGAGGTCAATGGCTCGGGAAGTGATTGGGATCCAAAAACAAGAAAAAAAAATGATATGAACATAGGTCCGGAAATGCATTGTTTTCGAGTTATCGCCATTTTTATGTTGAAATTTCAAATTGCTTTACTTTCAAATTTTTTAGTTAAAATTGAAAGAAGAGATGGTTTTGTATTTATTTATTTTATTTTATTTATTGTTTGTATTTATTTCTTTATTTTATTTGTATTTTTTTATTACGGTTTTTTTTTATTTTATCCTGGGTAGTGCTAAAGCAGTCCACAACTTTTACTTGACTTTAATTATGTTATAAAATTCATAAAAACCATCTTTCAATTTTGACAAAAAAATTTCGAAAGTAAAACAATTTGAAATTTCAACATAAAAATAGCGATAACTCGAAAAAAACGCATTTCCGGACCTATGTTCATACCATCTTTTTTTCTTGTTTTTGGGTCCCCAATCCCGAGCGATTGACCTCCACTTTTGAAACATCTTATATACTATTTTGAGGATATTTTTATGGAATTATCTATGAATCTGGGTAGAATATTCTTGTGTTAAAAGAATATTTTATAAATCTGCTTAAAACATTGCATTTAGAACGGTCTCATCTTGAAGTTCTATGCAGATTCATAGATCGTTTTTTTTTTTTTTCACTTTATTCGAATATTCAAATATTCATTGAAGGATATTTATAGAATGTTTACAGAATAAGTTTGTGCTATCTGGGTTCAAAGATCAAAGAGATAACAAAAATATATAGAGCGAGCGATTTAAATGTCCAATCTCAAAGGGAAATATTATTTAGCGTACAGAGGGTACACACGTCATTCCCACATTTCCCTCATTTCTCTCTCTCTCTCTCTCTTTCTCTCGGCACATCATGCATACACAGGCGCACGTGCTACCTGATCGATCACTCTACTCACCAGCTGGATGTTTCCACAGAGGCTGCAGTCTTTCGGGCACGAACTTGCCGATGGCGTTCATCGAATTCCTGTAGATTACCGACATGGTCCTCGAAATACGGAGATTTCGGCGGAGCGATTCAACACTTCGCGCGGAATAAAATAGAGGACGATCGCGGAAAAAAAAGGCGCCCAACGATCAATGGGACAATGCGATCCGAACGCTGCGACCGAGAGGCGCAAAGTGTCGCCGATTGGTCGCGATGACGCTCGCGCGATCTTGTTTCTCGCTCGCCTCCCTCGACCTCGCCTGCGATTCGTGAGAGCGAGCTCTCTCTATCTATCGTTCTCTCTCTCTCTCTCTCCCTCCTTCCCTCTACCCGTCGACGATGAATTTGCGCGCCTGACTTATACGTACGCGCCAGACTTTAAATATTGTCTGGCTGCCACGAGCTATGAAATCTGCGACGCGTGTATCGCCCGGAAAACTAGAGGTGGGACGAGATTGGACGCAAAAATTGACCTCGCTTTTATATATATATGTATATATATCTCAAAATTTAAGTAAAAGACACTGAAAATTAATATAAATAATTTTTCAAATTATAAATTTTAAAAAAAATTTTTGATTTCTCAAAGTTAAACATTTTTCATTTTTAAAAAATTAAATTAAAAAAAATTGTAGAAAAAAATTAAATTTCAAGAATCTCTTCTATATAGTTTATATAGAAGAGATCAATTTTTTGAAATTAAATAATTTGAAAATTTTTTAACTGAAAAATTAAAATTTTTTTTTTAAGATCGATAATTTTTTTGAAAAATTATTTTTATTAATTTTCAAAATGTTTCTTTTTTACTAAATTTTGAGATATCTATATAATTTGCGGATAACGTTCGATGAAAATATAAAAGAATATCTTTAATTTCGTTCTGAGAAAGAAAATTTTAAATGAAATAATACAAAGTGTTATCTTATATTATCGGGAAGTGATAAAACTTATAGTTTGTTGCGATATAATTAGAGCAGAATCTGTTAAAAGTTAATGGAATGACATGATAAGATATAAGGAAGCCAAGAACTATTTCAATTATCGCAAACAAGTACCGGAGACCAATATGTTATTTATATACAAGGTGTCCTAAAATATCAAATATCGGCGAATATCCTTTTTACAGTAAATTCTCTTTTCCCAATTTGAAGATCATCATTTATTACAAGTTTACTACAATTTATTACAAGTTTATTACAAGTCATTTATTACAATTTTTTCTATCATATATTTTTGTAACTAAGCCTCAAATTAAAAAATTCTCTCTCTCTCTCTCTCTCTCTCTCTCTCTTTCTATTAATTCTAAATAAATTCCATCCAAATTAATTGAAAAATGTAGTTTTGTTATCCTGTTGGCTCCCCAAAATTTAATTCGCAGAGTCTTTCTTTTTCAAAATCCGTTAATGTATATACCCTAACAGAAATGCTATACATTAAAAAATAACAAAACAATCTTATTTTGCAAACAGAAACAGAATGTTTACATCTCACTTATGCGAATGTAATCGACATGAGATATCAAAATTCTGAATGTCACGTTTGTTATTTATATGTAAACATATCTATGTATTCTCGGATATATATCTCGCCTTTAGTAATCTTGACTAGTCAGTCATCGTCCGCTTATCGACATATATATTTGATAATTTAAATATGTACAACTTGTCCAACAACTTGTCACACATCTCGGAATTTGTATATAAGGTAATTATATTTTAACTTTCTCTTATGTGTTTGGACTTTGCTATGCGTTTACTCTATTATTAATTTTAAAAAGTATTATTTTGTATTAATTCTAGGATTTTCATATTTGATTGTACTTAATATATGTGAATTCTCCGCATATGGGTCTTAAACCTCCTGGCCTATCAACTCCATTTATTTATTCTGTATGTGATTTTTTGCAACCTTATCATCTCTAATTAAGTTTGCTGAAAATGGTCCGAAAAATGAACCAAAACGTTCGTTTTTAAGTCTTGTAAGTGATTAAAATTTAAATAAGTTAAATATGCGCTCCACTTGCCGCGCTGAATCTTATTTACCTTTTCGCTAATTTATTTTTTTTCATTACCATATCGTTTTTATTTATTTATATTAATTAAACAAACATTATGAAAGAATTTGGCAAAATTTCGCAAGCTTATCTTTTCATGTTGTCCAATAAGTCAAGTTAGGGACTTAAAAATTCAGTTTGAGAAAAACAAAATAAAAAATATAAAAATTTTAGTTTGCGCAGATAAGACTACTACTGAATAAATGAAACAATGGACAATATATCTTCAAAGTTTTCATCACGCTCGCTCGATGAGAGACAAGGAGATCACAGGACATTTTCATATAAAAGAAGAGAAAACGTTTGTCATATAAGCGGTATTTACTGTACATGTCCTTGATATAAGTATAGTTGAGTTATATATATATATATATTATATGTGTCGAACATTAGAGATACTTCAATGAGTGATGTTGCGGAAGACCTTGCTCTTGCTGACATTGGCCGAGAGTTCCGAATCGGATACTCGGATGTTCGCCAAGTTGTCTCTCTCTCTTTCTCTCTCTTACAATGGGTAAATTTTCTATTAATAAAACAAAGGTATTTGTTCCCCACATTTTGGCAATGTGGTTTGGAGAAGTATGACTAGTTTTGAAAAATATATCTATGAGAAATGTCTTACATAAATATGCCTTTTACATATTATCGAATATGCCGAAGAGGGAAAATACTCCCAAATAACAAAAGTAATCATTTTGATGTCATATTTGACGTCAAAGTGACCACTTTTGCTACCTGGCATGAATTTAAATTAGTCGCAAAATTAGATTTTTACTATATATAATTTTTACTATATATGGACTGTGCCAATGTGCGTGTGGATTAATAAAATCAAGCGAGAAGAAAAGTGAAAAGATTTTTTTCAATAATATGATTTCATATTTTTAATGATTAATCAATGATTTTTTTATATAATGATTTTATATTCACACATATATATGGTGTTTTTATAGTGATATCGCTTTTTTGGACAACAGGCGTGAATTGGCAATCCGTTCTTATATAGTCAAAGATTTAAAGCAGCTTAAAATATATCGTGTGTGTGTGTTAGCATTATAGAAAACACAAATATATTACAAGCTTTATGTATATAATTTTTATTATATCGACATATGTTTGTAACAATAATTCAAAATATACAATACAAAGCGATTGTAAATAACGGACAAATAACTGATTTCAAAAAATGTGCTTAAGGGATTAAAATATATAATGTCTAACTGATCAGTTGTCCGTTTTTTCTAAACAGTTCAGTTTAGCTTGTGCTCGCAATACATTATAAATGTACAATATATTGATAGTTTTGAATATTACGTATAAAAAGCATCTCTTATTGAAATATAATTATTTTCTTTGATGTATGCAATAGAAGCATACAAGATCGTGCAATACTTTATGTGATAACTTAACAAGATTGAAAAGTGCTTTATTCCGTAACACTAACAGAAATAAGAACTGACAAATCGAGATATATAAAAAAAATAATAAAAAATCTATTACAAAATTCTATCAAAGATAAAGGATACGCTTATTTTACGTAGTTATGAGATACAACTATAAATTTGATGAAACTTTTCCAATTCCAATGTTTCAACATTAAAATAGATACAATCTAATATTAGATAGAAAAGTTTCAATCACAATATAGCTTTGTAAGGACAGCGATATAATACATTATACAGATGCACATATTAAAAGAGTTCTTACATATTTATATATAATATATATATATAAGGCACATGAATTACATATAATATATTAAATATGTGTATGTGTGTAATGCCATTAATTGCCGTATATACATAGCGATTATTTAACTGGATGGATCCAGTGAAATTCATGAGCCATCATTTCACATTGATCAGTCTTATGTTCGTTAAATCTTTAATATAACACTACTACAAAAAGCAATGATTGAAGTCTTCAATATAAAAGATACAATTGTCATAAACACATATATTATTTATTCTAAAGAACTTTCTAAAATACTTTCAATAAAAATGATGTAGCATTTATCAAAAATCAGCAAACTTGCAAGAGGATAAAAATATATTTGTAAAGTATGTATATTTGGCAGCTTAGTATATTTTAAGGATATTCAAAGGATTTTATCGATGGCACAAATATATTAATCCAACTATTCTATTGTAATATATTGTAGTAGCACTTATTAGACATATAGAGAGCGAGAAAAGCTCCATTATAAAAAAATGCATGTTTAATAATGAGCTTTACTATATAAGTAGTAAATTACGATTAATTTGTCGATAAATGCAAGTGGTAGCAACGTTGATATTAAGTATGGAATATAAATAGATATATGTGTATATAATTCATTAACGTAAACTTGAGCATATGTAATATGCAGTAAAACACAGATATTATGTCATTATAAACATTCTAGATACACGTATTAATTTTTGTGTATCTTATTATAATCTATATTGCATTATATATTAAATTAGCGTTTCTTTTTTTAATTTTTTATATAACAATACAATATTATTGTATATTTCAGATTGCAATAACCAATATAAATGCATTGGTAATTGTATTTTTTTTTTAATTTGTATTTACATCCTGCGGCAGTAATACTATTATCACATATAATTGCACGTTTGCAGTATTGCATATTAAATTAATTCATCTGTATAATTTTGAAATATTGTAATCGATGAGTTTAAATGTACTAATAGATCCATACATGTCAATTGTAATGAATTTGGAAAAATCTGTAGAAACAAGTAGTTTCGTGTCCGGATTTGGTGGCAATTCGACAACTGCTAATAATTCTGGTACTTCGGGATCTCTGCCTATTTTGTTTATCCAATATTCACTCACAGTGCGAACGGCGCTAACAGTAATATCTGTGTCTGATACATTATTGTTTTGTAAATTAGATATATCGGCATCTAGGCTTCGGCTAGAAGGTATTTGTAGGTTCCTAAATGCATTTAAGCTGAGTGATGGAGTACTTATACTGGACCTAATACCCATTCGACTTCTCTTTACATTACTCTTTGTTAAAGCAATGTTCCACCAAACTAGTTCATTATTTGTCACTGAGAGTAAAATCGGAACATTTACGGTAGTCGGAGCCCAAAACAATTGTGTAATGGGATTGTTATGGAAAGATAGTTGAATGATCTCTGTCCGCTTTCTTATATCAATAATCTAAAAATGAAAGAGTAATATTAAATTCATATCAAAGTATGTAATTAAGAACTAAGAAATCGTGAAAAAACTTACAATGATTTGTCCTCTTTCAGTTCCAACAGCGATATACTGTTCATTTTGCGAAATATCACAGCAAATTGCTTTCCATGAAAATGGACAAGTATAAGGCTGTTCATTAATTTCTATACAAGGTAATAATACTGTCCTATTTTTGCAAAAGTAGTATAAAACTAATTGGTTTGATTCATTTAAGACCGCTAAGTAAGTTTTGTTGTGGCTAAAACAACTAAATGTAACATCTGAAGGCAGATCAAATGGAACTTGACTTATTAATTCCCAAGATATAGTCTCAGTGCATTCATTAAACCAAATCGTTTTTATGTCACTCTGTGTTATTATTGCCATATGATTGTTATTTAATTTGTGAATATCGATTATATGTCCTGCAGGTATATCGGTTCCGAATATCTGTTTAGAATGTTGCCACATCTATTGAATAAAAATTGATAAAAATAAAAATATAATTAAATTTTTTAAATATTTTAAATAATTGAATATTTAGAAATTATTATATACATACCATTAAATTACTATTGTTCCATCCACACACTATTACATTAGAGTTACAAATGTTTATAATCTTCAGAAATATATTTAGTTTTTCCAGCTTCAAAATAGTATAGGATGTTTCAGTTGTTATGTCATATAACATAAGATTACATTTTTCTGTAACATATACAACTTCCTTTCCATCAGGAGAAAGTTGTAAGTTCACTATTTTTTCTTTTGACTCAACTTCTATTGTTTCTTCCCCATGTGAAACTATTATTTTCTTCAGCTGGCTCTCTTTGACTATAATGTCTGTTTCATCATAAGGCTTAACTATTGCATCAAATAAACATATCCTATAATTTAACAAAAGAAATGGTGCTATAAGATTTAATTAAGTTTAAAATATAAAGTATACATATGTAAAAGAGAAAGAGTGAGAGAGAGAGAGAGAAAGGAATGTAAAAATGATGCATAAATGTATTACCTTGGTATTGTATTTGATTCTTGTATTGGAAAGTTCCACTTGTAAAATAATCTGTTTCCGTTTCCGCATATCTGAGAGAAAAGAAGAAACTATTAACTGTTTCAAACATATAATCGTATAAAAATATAGTTAAATATATAACTAAATTAATAAAAGAAGAATACGTACAATATGACAGCCTTCTTCTTCTAAGCAATAAGTATCTAAGGATGTGACACGACTTTTGTAAATAGCAATAATTGGATATCCACCCGAAGTTTGCCATACATTTATAAAACCCGCAGAATCAGCCATAATCATATATTCACCATCATAAGTTATAGTTGCGCAAACATAAGTTATAGGACTATTTTCAATGAACACCTTTCTTTGTTTACAGAAACTATACACATTGTCCCCGTCCCACCACCATTTTACACATATAGCTTGCTTTTCGGTAGCAATCATTAACGAGTCTTTGTGTCTGGGTACATGATGAAAAAAAATGACCTTTTCGCTCTTTAATTGTAGATTGTAACAGGCAAGATATCGATAAGCAGTGTAATCATCGCTACAATTGGAGTATACAGTAAAGGTCATCTTTGATTCATCTATTACATGTAGTAACGAAGCTTGAGCAGTAAACGCTATTTTCGTTATAATTTCCCTGTAACAAATGCATGCCATATTATGTTATATTAATACGCATAAACGTGCGTACATATCATCGTTTAACATGTACATGTACTTACGTAGGATCTTTTTTTATAGTAAACACAAGTTCCCCCTTTCGATTCCACATCTAAAAAAAAAAACATACAAGACATCACAGAGAGAGAGAAACACGAATAATACATTATATGTATTACATTATAATTTTTCTAAAAAAGTATATTACACAATAAAAGATAAAAAACTTCATTTCGTAAAAGAATCATGTGTAAAAGACTAAAACACAGTACCCGAATTTTTGTTTTGTTAGTGCACGCAGCAATGTATTGGTCTTCGTATCCAAATGCCATGTCTAATATCATTTCATCTTTAATCGAGAATTCTACTACACTGTCATCTAAACCATTATTGTTTGTAAACATGTTAGACCAGGCACTTTGTTTTTGTCGTGGGCTCTCCATATGAGTATGACCCTGATCATTGGGTTCAAATGCATCGTTTAACAGAAGAGGAAATAGCTTTATTATGCCAGCACTGCTCAACGATAAGAAGCAATCACCATTCGTAGATACAATAAGTTTTTTAATTGAACATTCTTCGTTATGTCCATTAAAAACTTGTTGCTGCATGTTTTTGCAATTCCACAAAATTATTTTACCCCTTGTGGTTCCAATCAGAATCAAATGAGAATAATCTGTGAAAGATGACGTGCAGATATCCGTTGATGTTTCGTGAATTAACGATATATTCACGTTTTCGAGAGTTTTATCATGAGATAAGTATAGGTAATTCCCTTTTTTCATAGCTAGTTGTTTGGCAGTTTGCGTGACATAGTCTTGATATGGATGGTTCATTGCGATTTGAATTATATCTAAGCATTTCTTTCGTCTATGTTCTACTATAATGTTTGCTTGTTCTTGAAGAAATCTTTCGATATTAGAGAAATGCGCTTTGTACTCGTTATTAGAGCATGTAATATAGTCTTTGTATTTTTGTAAATCCAGTAATAGATCTGTTAAACCCGAATGCATTATTTTAGCTTGAATGAAACTGAAGTCCAAATAAAGTTTCGGAAATTCTTCAAATAATTTTGCTTCCTCCAAATGGTGGCCAATATAAGAATAAATATAATTATCATCTGGCAATTTTGAAAAATCATTATTGCAATGTTCGCGATATTTTTCAATAACAGATTTATGCATCTGTATCAATTCGTCTTGTGTTAGTTTCGTCCTTAGATGACATAGCAGTAAGTCATGCACACCATAAATATAACTTTTCAAATCCTTATTCCATTTTTTTGCTACAAGTGATTTATGGCACAAATCAAGCATCAGTTCGTCAACTTGATATATATCTTCTTCTTCCCAGAGAATTGATAGAGTCTTAAAAAAATGAAGAAATGGAGATATGAATTATTGAGAAAGAAAGTAGAGAGTATGAAATTATTACCTGTATTTACATCGTGTTATTATCTGTAGAGGGAAATGGGTTAAAGTTACATAATTTTAAGGAAAACATATATAAAATGAATAAAACCAAATCTTTTTAAGTGAAGGCATTTTGAAAATTTAAAGTAATTTTTGGTTTTTTGAATGGTAACATGTGCTTTTTTTACAGTAGGATGGCAGTACATATATATATATATATAATGACAATAAAGTAGTCTTCCCGCAACCACTCGCACCAAGTAATCCATAACTGAATAATAAAACGTTTATTAGAATCATAACAATATCATAAAACAAAAATTATTACATAAAATTTTTCTACGTTTCATATATATATATATATATATATATTTTATAATGCTTGCATTCAAAAACATGTATTACAATCTTGCTATTAAAAAAAAAAAACATGTGTTTTCATTTAAAAAAATCAAGAATTACTTTCAAATTTTATGCTCTCCTTAAAAGAATGTAATTTTAATTTAACTTATATTTTTCTACCAATAATAACATTGATGTAAATCCTTATGTGTGCATATACTATATACTATACAATGAATTAATAATATATAAATTTTATTATACCTTTGAAGTTATGTTAACATCTTCATTAAAAATAGCTAGACTCTTATAATATTTTTTCAAATTTGGTTGTAGTTGTCCAATACACATATCAAAAATAGTTTCTTGTTTCTTAAAAAATTCTCTTATTACTCTGTAATACAATATAACAATGGAATTTTATTGATTAATATTTAGAATTAAAGAAATTAGACATTATTTAGAAATTATATAATACCCATACTTGTTTTTTGCATCCTTTTTTCTCAAGGATTCCAGATAATATTTCCATCTATTAGTGTTTATTCTCATATCGTATTTAAATTCTTTAAATTGCGCAGCAAACATGGCAATGAGTAATGGCATACCCTTACATTCTTCATGAATTCTCTTTGCTTCTATAGGTAGTTTATCCACATCCATTTCCAGCACTTTAGCGAATAAACCTAATGTTTCTGTTTCTGTAAATCCATCATTCATCTGAAAGCAATGCATATTTTGTTGTGAGAATAATTATATATTTCAACACATATATATAATCATAAAAGTAATAAAAGATATTCTAGATGGTATTATATATACCTCTATTTTCTTAAATATTTTTTCTTCTAGAACATTGATGTCAGCAGTGAGAACTAGAGTTTTACATTTAAAATCAAAAGCATTTACAATATTTTTGTCAGACACATCATCTAAAATCAGTAAAGCATTGCGATTATCTTGCTGGCCAAAATAATATTTAAAAAATCGGATCAAAGAATCTTGCTCTAGCGGAGTGAAAGATTCTGGTTGGATTTCCAAATTCCTCACATTATGATAGAGTGTGTTTAACTGAATTAATATTTCTTCATCGACTGAACGATCACATGTAAATTTAATCCAATAAATTTGATTCTAAAATAAAAATAAAGAGAAAATTATTACATGCAAAATGTAATATTAAATGTTATAAGCATCTAACAGTCAATAGAAAACATACAGAAAATAAATTTTTCACTAATCTTATATCCTTGAGAGTATTGGCAGTTAGACTAGATTTTCCAAATCCCTTCATGCCATGTAACACAATGTATTCTGTGGGCTTTAATTGTTGTAAAGCCATCCTCAACTGTGTAATCTGTAAACATAATATACTGTATAATAAAATTTTATCTCATAAATTTGGGAATCAAAGAATACACACACACATGATACATGATTTATTATATACTTTTATTATATGACATATATGTAAAAATATTGAAATTGAATGATTTTTTATAAACTTACACATGATTTAGATTTCCATATGTATGCATGGAAATAAACAATTAAACTAAATAAGAAAAAATGTAATAATTTATCACAACAAATTACATTTATAATAGCAATAGGATTAAATATATATCTCATCCGATGTTAAAAAAATTTCTTTTTTATTTTTTAAGATCCTTAAAATAATTTCATCACAAAGATTATATATACAGGGTGTATCTGAAATGATGCACTAAACTTTAGGAGCGTATTCTAGAGGTCAAAATAAGACTTTTTTTTCTTATGAACATGGGTCCGCAAATGAACTCCCCTCCGAGCTAAAATTCGAAAATGTGTGAAATTCATTGTTAAGAACTCACGGCTAAAGTACGGACATTTTCTGCTTTCAATTTGACTGTGGTTATTCGGCGATATAATTTTTTTTTATGAAATACAGCCGATTTTTAATTTTTTCCCCGAACTTTAGAGGCCTCTAACTCGGAGGAGGGTTCATTTGCGGACCCATGCTCATAGAAAAAAAAGTCTTATTTTGACCTCTAGAATATGCTCCTAAAATTTAGTGCATCATTTCAGATACACCCTGTATATATGTGACACAAATCTTTCTCTGTATAATAATATAATTTACAAATATTGTAATAAGCAATATGCATTATAGAGATAAATGTAATGTCAAATAATAATAGATACCTCAAAGTTCATAATTTTATCTTATCATTAGTGCAACTATAATCAAGATATAGTCAGAATGACTCATACAAGCTAATATCATATCAATATTATATTTAGTTATACCTTTTCTTCTCTGGTAACTGTCAATGGAGAAAGGGGTGGCATGTTAAGAGGTCCAACATAATAATCTATCTCTCCATTGTTTTCTATTGTATAATTACATAACAATTTATCTACTTGCTCGCTAAGCCAGATGTAGTGATGTTTTAAGGATTGATGAAAAACATCAAAAGCATATGGGCCACATCTTAAAAATGTTAATACAAACACTTAATGATTACATTGAACTCTAATATCTATCATAAGCTATATATTGTTAAATAAAAATGTAAATTATGAAAGTAATTTGCGACACATGTGATTATTGTTATTTATTAGTACAAATAGAATAAAAATGTAAATAATAAATTAAAATAAAAACATATATGTAAGATTGTATGAAAGATGTGCAAATACAAAACAAAGAAAATATAAACGTACCTTGGAAGTATATCTAACAATTTTTCCGCTCTCTCTTCCTTAGTAGCCCCAGTATAAATGCTCTGAATATCCCTTGTTTTTAAAATATCATTAGATGCTAAAGGTTCTACAATGTCATTATCAATATCTAGATCATCAATTATATCTTTCCTCAAATGGAGGAGAATATCTTGATGAGCTGGTTCCATCTTTATGATTAAAGTTTATGATCCAAATTACAATACTAGAGCTTGTAGTTATCTTGTTCGAATTTAATATATATCTAAAATAAATAATGATAAAAATTACTTAATTTGACATTAATTTCAATTATATATGTGATGAGTTAAATAAATAATCATATATTCTTAATAAATTCCACAAGATGAGAAAGCCCAGCATTTAAGAATAAATATGACTTGTAATCTTAATAATATAACTTTTAATTTGATAAAATAATAAGTGTGTAAAAATAACATAATAAAATATATTTATATATTTTAATTGAATATAAATATACATACATTATTTTACAGTATCACATAAAATAATGTAACTATTACAAATATCTATATATGTCATTTACAAAATTTATTTAACAACGATCAATATAGAAATGGTTTCATCATCTTTATCATCGTTTTTATCTTTATATTTACATCTTCATAGTATGTACCTATAATCTCTTCACCTTATTAGAAAAAATATATATAGAAAAATCTATTTTATCAAACACATATATAAATATAAATCAGTTCATCTAACAAAAAATGCTATCCTACGTTTAGAAAATGAATTTATTATGAAGTAGTTTTTTTACGATTGTGCATCAGATAGTTAAAAAGAAACGCTTAGCAGCTATACACGATATTTGTGATTATCCTAATGATAATCTCAAATATCGCGCATATCAACGCAAATCGATAAAATTTATCAGCCGTGATTTAATCTATAGCCGAAAAGTATATCACACGAGTTTTAGATAGAATAAAAGAAGCTTTCTTTATATAATATATACAGAGTGTCTATAAAATATGTCCCCATCTCCTATATTTCGGAAACGGCTCAAAATTGGTTATCCTTCCAAGGCTGCGTTCGGAAATATCACCCATGTGCATACAAGCGTCGTTCTATCTTTGTTCAACTTTTAGCAAATAACAAAGATAAAATGACGCTCGTATGCACACGGGTGATGTTTCCGAACACAGTCCAAGGAAGTGCCCCAGAAGGACTCCAAAATTTCGAATGGAACCCTCCTATTGTAGTATATCATTTGAAAGAGCACAAAAAAAGAAAATTTTTAGTGCAAAACACAGGTTGATATGTTAACCTATTCGGGAATTTATTAGGATCAAAGTTCGAAAAAGGCCAATTTAAAAAAAAATCATTACTCCCATTTGAAAAATCCTAAAAAAATATTTGAGGTGTGAAAATGTTCGTTTTTTTAAGTTCTTTCCATAAAAATACGCACACTAAGGCATGCGCCATCCGTGTGCGCACATACCGGCAGTAATTTTCAAGGCTTGAATTTAATAGGTTTTTGGGTCTCTTTTTCGACCTGAAAAAAAGATCCCAAGGTCAAAATCTGAATTTTTTTATCGCACAGATATTCGCGGTTTTTCATAATTTTAAACCGTTTCCGAGATATAGGGGGTGGGGACAGATTTTATGGACACCCTGTATATCTATTTGCGCGTCATATTTTTACGGTGAATATACTGTTTTTCTTGTTCATACGCACATATAAATATATATAAAATTTCCTCAAGCCTCTTTAGCTTTTTAGCGTTTTTCTTAAAAAACAAACAGCAAACAATTAATTTTCTCAAAAACGAAATTTTACATGGAAGATTTTTTGTCTACATTTTCTACTTATATTTGCATAGGGAATCACCTCCATTGCACTTGTACCACGGTTTCCAATATATCCTGTATATACACACACACATATATATATATATTTTTTTTTTTTTATTTTTATCTTATTTTTGGATATTCTAAATTGAAACATATATATATTTTTTTCTCACATCTTGTCTTTTTTCTCTCCGTCCTCACATGTTCTATAGAATCGCCATTTTCACACTTATAGACGAGAATCTTTATTTTTTCCTTTATATTTAAAGAAAATTTACCAGTTTATTTTTTTCTACTAACCTTTTCCTCGAGTAGATGTTATTGCCCTCTTTCACATCTCGTGAAATGTTTGTCTCGCACATTAATCGTTCAGATATAAGATTTAGTCTTTACGGACAGGAATCTCTCTCTTTCTTTCTTTGTTTGAAAATCCAAGTAATCTCTTGCCGTAACAATGCGATATCCTTGCAGCACGGTTGATGACTGTTGTTGACAACTGTTGACAAACCACTGACCATCACCGATCGGATACATACAGGAAACTAGATACTGGCTACAGTGTTGGCTGGCGGGAGCAAGATGGATTTTTCGCGCATGCGCGGCAGTAGTGACAATTAACTAGCGATATATCACCTTATAGGCATAGAAAATTTGGCAGCCTCAAGCAAGATTACTTAACTAAATTTTATATATCTATAATTTTATATATATATATATATATATATATATATATATATATATATATATATATATATATATATATATATATATATATATATATATATATATATATATATATATATATATATATATATATATATATATATATATATATATATATATATATATATATATATATATATATATATATATATATATATATATATATATATATATATATATATATATATATATATATATATATATATATATATATATATATATATATATATATATATATATATATATATATATATATATATATATATATATATATATATATATATATATATATATATATATATATATATATATATATATATATATATATATATATATATATATATATATATATATATATATATATATATATATATATATATATATATATATATATATATATATATATATATATATATATATATATATATATATATATATATATATATATATATATATATATATATATATATATATATATATATATATATATATATATATATATATATATATATATATATATATATATATATATATATATATATATATATATATATATATATATATATATATATATATATATATATATATATATATATATATATATATATATATATATATATATATATATATATATATATATATATATATATATATATATATATATATATATATATATATATATATATATATATATATATATATATATATATATATATATATATATATATATATATATATATATATATATATATATATATATATATATATATATATATATATATATATATATATATATATATATATATATATATATATATATATATATATATATATATATATATATATATATATATATATATATATATATATATATATATATATATATATATATATATATATATATATATATATATATATATATATATATATATATATATATATATATATATATATATATATATATATATATATATATATATATATATATATATATATATATATATATATATATATATATATATATATATATATATATATATATATATATATATATATATATATATATATATATATATATATATATATATATATATATATATATATATATATATATATATATATATATATATATATATATATATATATATATATATATATATATATATATATATATATATATATATATATATATATATATATATATATATATATATATATATATATATATATATATATATATATATATATATATATATATATATATATATATATATATATATATATATATATATATATATATATATATATATATATATATATATATATATATATATATATATATATATATATATATATATATATATATATATATATATATATATATATATATATATATATATATATATATATATATATATATATATATATATATATATATATATATATATATATATATATATATATATATATATATATATATATATATATATATATATATATATATATATATATATATATATATATATATATATATATATATATATATATATATATATATATATATATATATATATATATATATATATATATATATATATATATATATATATATATATATATATATATATATATATATATATATATATATATATATATATATATATATATATATATATATATATATATATATATATATATATATATATATATATATATATATATATATATATATATATATATATATATATATATATATATATATATATATATATATATATATATATATATATATATATATATATATATATATATATATATATATATATATATATATATATATATATATATATATATATATATATATATATATATATATATATATATATATATATATATATATATATATATATATATATATATATATATATATATATATATATATATATATATATATATATATATATATATATATATATATATATATATATATATATATATATATATATATATATATATATATATATATATATATATATATATATATATATATATATATATATATATATATATATATATATATATATATATATATATATATATATATATATATATATATATATATATATATATATATATATATATATATATATATATATATATATATATATATATATATATATATATATATATATATATATATATATATATATATATATATATATATATATATATATATATATATATATATATATATATATATATATATATATATATATATATATATATATATATATATATATATATATATATATATATATATATATATATATATATATATATATATATATATATATATATATATATATATATATATATATATATATATATATATATATATATATATATATATATATATATATATATATATATATATATATATATATATATATATATATATATATATATATATATATATATATATATATATATATATATATATATATATATATATATATATATATATATATATATATATATATATATATATATATATATATATATATATATATATATATATATATATATATATATATATATATATATATATATATATATATATATATATATATATATATATATATATATATATATATATATATATATATATATATATATATATATATATATATATATATATATATATATATATATATATATATATATATATATATATATATATATATATATATATATATATATATATATATATATATATATATATATATATATATATATATATATATATATATATATATATATATATATATATATATATATATATATATATATATATATATATATATATATATATATATATATATATATATATATATATATATATATATATATATATATATATATATATATATATATATATATATATATATATATATATATATATATATATATATATATATATATATATATATATATATATATATATATATATATATATATATATATATATATATATATATATATATATATATATATATATATATATATATATATATATATATATATATATATATATATATATATATATATATATATATATATATATATATATATATATATATATATATATATATATATATATATATATATATATATATATATATATATATATATATATATATATATATATATATATATATATATATATATATATATATATATATATATATATATATATATATATATATATATATATATATATATATATATATATATATATATATATATATATATATATATATATATATATATATATATATATATATATATATATATATATATATATATATATATATATATATATATATATATATATATATATATATATATATATATATATATATATATATATATATATATATATATATATATATATATATATATATATATATATATATATATATATATATATATATATATATATATATATATATATATATATATATATATATATATATATATATATATATATATATATATATATATATATATATATATATATATATATATATATATATATATATATATATATATATATATATATATATATATATATATATATATATATATATATATATATATATATATATATATATATATATATATATATATATATATATATATATATATATATATATATATATATATATATATATATATATATATATATATATATATATATATATATATATATATATATATATATATATATATATATATATATATATATATATATATATATATATATATATATATATATATATATATATATATATATATATATATATATATATATATATATATATATATATATATATATATATATATATATATATATATATATATATATATATATATATATATATATATATATATATATATATATATATATATATATATATATATATATATATATATATATATATATATATATATATATATATATATATATATATATATATATATATATATATATATATATATATATATATATATATATATATATATATATATATATATATATATATATATATATATATATATATATATATATATATATATATATATATATATATATATATATATATATATATATATATATATATATATATATATATATATATATATATATATATATATATATATATATATATATATATATATATATATATATATATATATATATATATATATATATATATATATATATATATATATATATATATATATATATATATATATATATATATATATATATATATATATATATATATATATATATATATATATATATATATATATATATATATATATATATATATATATATATATATTACAAAAATTTTACATATATAAAAATTTTCTTTTAGAAAATTTTTTACGGGGCTAGCAGCGCATCTTTTTGCTTGTATTAGATACTTTAGTGAGGTTGCGTTCACCGCGCATGCGCGAAAAACCCATCTCGCACGATTGGCTATTAGCAGCAATGTTGCGGGAGACAAGTTTCTCCGACAACATTTTCATGCGCATGCGTGAGTCATTGTGGTCATTAAACGCATAATTGACTATAGGATGCATAATTGACCTTTAACCATAGACATATATGCTTCCCAGCAAGCAACATAGGCGACAGTGTGATACTGAGTCGACACAGGTGCTTTCCTACAACGATACAACTTGACATAGCTGAGAAGCAAAGTGAAGATAGTTGTGTCAAAAATCAGGATTACCAATTCCAGTAATTTTTTTAATTTTTATATTTGCAGCACTGGACATTAATAAACATGTTTTTTCTTTTGTTTAATATGCACACATATATAGTTTTGTAAATAATCTTCTAAATTAATAAGAAAATAAAGTGCAAACACTGTTCGAAATAATATCATTTAATGATGCTGTACAGCATTCATGTTTTGTTGCAAGAGAAAAAAATGTATGGATTGCAAAAATAATTTATTTGTAGAACATGATGTGTAATGAATAAACAACATATAAGTATAAGTCAATTGTTTAAAAATATTAAACTTTTATAATTAATTTTATTGTTTAATATAATTTATATAATTATTATTTACATAACTGTTTTTACAATATATCGTAAAACTGTAAAAAAACTGAGCTTTACTGATATTAAGTTTACGTCAAAAAAAATGTAAGGCTGGATCTACAATAGATGCAGTAAACTTTAAACCGTAAAAAATTAACAATAATAATTGATTATTCTTCTCACATTTGACTGTGATTGATCAATTTTTTATAGCTTAAGACTTACTACATCTATTGTAGATCCGGGCTAAATATGAAATATTTCCCACATTTCACATTTAAATGTATGAAATAATTTTTCTACGCTTGAATCATTGACATCAATATTAATTAATTCTACTAATTATAAGTGAATATCTAATGTCTCCAAATCAATGTATCGGACCAAAAAAGCAATTTATCATTAATAATATCAGACGTTTCAATAAAATTTAATAAAAATTAAAAATTTAGGACACAAAATTTTATTAATGATACGTCTTAACCAGGCATAAAATATTTGTGATAATGTTAGTATATTAATATAATTTTGGTCGGCCTATTTGCATACTTTTTAATACATCACGATCTTTTCCTATATTTTGAAAGAAGCCGAGAATCTCTTCTGCAGTTTGATGGGGAATATTTTTGTCAGCAATTAATGCGGCATATCTAATTTCTGCTGATTTTTTACGCTCATCAAACGTCAAAAGCGATTCATTAATTTGCATTTTCGGATCTTCATTCGATTTGCTTAATTCAATACAATTTTTTTCATATTTATTTATATGTGCTTTAGATTCTGCGTGACGATAGATTTGCGATAAACCGCCAACAATAGATTTATCGCAAATCGAACAAAAAAATAAACTTCCGTCATGTGGCACTTCATGTAACCAACATTTAAATTGGTCAATTTCTAACCATCTGTGTTGAAATACAGATTTACGCGATTTTTTAATTTCTAAGTCATCTTTACAATTAATGTCAGCTAATATTGTTTGTGCTTTATTAATATTATTTCTGTGATACGCAGAATCCGCATGTCTAGATATATGTGTTGAATTACACGAAAAATTTTTATTGCATATACTGCAATAATAAAGACTATGATCAGATGATACTTTGCGTATCCAAGATTTGTATCGATCATCATTAAGCCAAGCTTCTGCAAAACCTCGCTTACGTTTTTTGGTCAATTCATCACACATTTCCATGACGATTATAAAAATAAAAAGAAAATAGAACAAAAAACAAATAACAGCTGCTGGAATATAGAGTAAAAATATATATATAGACGTATGTGTTTATATACACGTGTGTTCTGTGTATAGCTTATAGGTGAGATCAGGAGAGAGAGAGAAACCCTGTGGTTCGTCAATATTTAACTATTGTAACTACAATATTTAACTATTGTAACTACAGATTCTAAACTCTCTTTAATTGCATACGTGTGTGTATGTATATGTAAAAATACCACTTACTTTCTATAAATGTCATGAATATTTTACAAGAGCTCAAAAACTGGCGGCAATCACAAGACACATTAAAACAAAACGTTTCTTGAGGCGAGAAATACATATCATGAAATAAATGCGTTACGCGGCAACAGTAATGCCCAGATAGCGCACAGATATCTGAGAAATATCCTACAAATATTCTTCAAGCATGTTGAGAATATCCTAAATCCATTTTATGTCCCTCAAATATATGTAATGAATGTCCATGACATATCCAAATATGGAATTGGTGAACGTGGTTTAATCCTTGATATGTTCAGGAGATATCCGATGGATGTCGAATGGATGAATCAACAATAACGAATATATGGAACGAACTTCATATAGATGAGAAACAAACGTGACAAAAAGAGGTTACACCTGAAATTTTTATTTACATTAAAAAGATGAAATATATGTATGTATATATTTTTTAGGTATATATATATATATATATATTTTTTTTTAAACAATACATTTACCAAATAAAGTTTATATCACATACATTGTACTTTAATTTTGATAGTCTTATATATTTCGAAGTAGTATATATATTTTTAAGGAGGCACAGAAGCTTCATAATTTAAAAGGAAAATATACTTATTAAACAAACTAAGATATATATAATGACATTAATTATTCAATATTATATTTATTGCACACAAATTAATTTTAAAAAAACCTGACAATTCGTTTGTATGTGCGCGTGTGTATATGTGTGAAAGAAAAACAAGCTTATAAAGTTCTACATATATGCTATAGTTAGCAATTTTTAAAAGAAATATATATATAGTTTTCATTAAAAAACCGATATTGAAACTTTAAACGCATTTTTGCGTTATACCCGAGTTATATTAAAAAAAACCAAAACATAATATGTA